AATCTATTCCATTTTTTTGTAAACATTGAAATATTGTTGAAGATAGAAAATTGTTTTTATCCACGATCCATGGACAAGGGCGGAAATTTGCTCTACGACTTTATATAATTCAAGATTCGAGGAAAGACTGAGGGAGAGATGGAGATAGTGAGAGAAAGAGAGAGAGAAATTAGAATTGGAGAATTGCAAAACACTATTTTGAATTTCATAGCGACGGTGCCCGGGATTCTGAAATTAATCAGATTCAGTCGCACAATTCTGATTATAGAGTCCGTAATTTGATTTATATCCACGTTATCGTCGTGCCATTTATTTTACGATACGGTATACCGCCGGACGCCGTAAACGGGTGAGGTACTTCGCGTACTGGAATGAACTTGGCCGACCCTAGCTGGCTCTAGGGTAATTTATCAAATTGCATGCTGGTAATCGTTATTACAGCGCGGCCAGCTATTATCGCGGCCAAATCTCAATTCGCGTTGCCTTTTAGCGGGCCATAATTGGGCCGTTAACGTGTATCGCGTACACTTGCTAGGGCTTTTTACGGCATTTCGCAAGATAAGTTAACGCAAATGCGCAATATCAACAAATGGGGAGAGTTGGCATGTTGCAATCTTAATAGAATTGTATAGCGGACTATCGATCGAGAGGTGTGCGTAAACTGGGGTGCGACAAATTAGGGTTGCCTCCTAAAGGGATGGAAAGATATTTAAGTATTGATGTGGATACCAAAATGGATTATTTAATATCAGCGTGAATTTTGATCTCGTTATTTCGTATGGGTTTACACTGTCCTCAACGAAATTAATTGGAGCGATAGAAATGCTTTCCGCCGCGCGTTTAATATAACGTAGAATCATTCCTATGTAAAATTCCTCTGCCATCGTTTAGCTTCGTTAAACAATTTCTAAACCGAAATATTTCGATATTTATATATTTCACTATTTTGATATTTACTAACGTCGTACGTACGATAAATAGCGTTGAATAATTCCGTGGATATTTTGATTACGTTATAGGTATATTAATAAACGTTTCCATATCGCCGCAAATATAATAGTTGCAAAAGGGAAACACACCGTAATTAACGTGTAGCCGGCATTCATAAGCCACCACGAGCGTGACGCGCAAAGAGTGAGTGTACGAGCGGTGAGGGAGAGGGAAAACATTTCACGAAGTTAATGAATTCCTATGGGAATGCCGTAGAACTGGCTTCGGGCCATTAATACGGTCCATTCACAAACACAACTCTTCGTTCTCTCATGCCAGGCGCCCTCGTTAAAACTTTCGAAGCGCGCGAGCATCTCCACGTTGGAGGGCGAAAAAAGAGGAAGTTCCCTTCGTATAAAAACAAACGGAGGGTGCCTGTAACCAACCCCTTCCTTTTTTCAACAACGGACAAGCCGCAAGTCCTTATGCAGCTTTCACGTTTTACAGGGGAGACATGGGGTTCGCGACGTTTACGAATATTATTCTCGACGAGCTACTTCTATGTGTCGGAAAATGCTGTCCCGAGTGCTAATGAAACATTTGGTGACACAACATTGTGAAACATGCCTGTCTGCTTACTCTCGATGGAACGGACAATCGCATCGGCATGTCTGGATTATCAAATATCTCGGTTATTCATTCTTCTCTATAGAGAAGGTGATGCGTGGTAAAATTGTTATAAGGAAAAAACTAATATACTTTGTATCACTTTCTGTCATCACTTGATCCTTTTAATCGTTTCATTTTAGATAATTGGATTGTGTGAAAGGAGAGATTAAAAGTCGTATGAAATATTTAAGACGAATATTTTAGATACTTTTCATACGTATGGTATGTATATTCGAGGAGCCAGCTGGTCTCAATTGAAGTGAGAATCCGTCAGGATAAGTTGGAACGAAACATATGCTACTGGAAAATTACCAGCTTGTGATATCCATTAATTTTACGGTGAGACTAAAATAAATATGCCAAATTCGTATTATAAATTACATATGCCTCGCACGTGTTCCTACCTTGCCATTATCTTGAGTGGACACTCGGATAATCGTGCAGGTATACTCGGCACGAAAGCGTTCTGGGAGCTAATTAAATATTTAGCTTGCACCCACCACGAGCTAATTCATACGCGAATATAACTGTTTGCATTTTTGGCCGAGAGATTAAATGAACATTAATTATCAGTTGCACACGTATGTCGGAATGTTATTTCTCAAACGCTCGTTGACTTTTTTCTACAGTAGATTTATCTCTGTGTCCATTTGACATCGTATGGAAAATTCTGTTTTCTCGGCCAAATGGTCATATTCAGTTTCCTTTCTGTTTCAATTGAGAATAAGAATTTTTTTAAGGAAACATGGGACACATATTGCGCAGCTCTATTTATGTAATATCAAAATCTATGTTACGAATATTATTAATATTTATTATATGCAGGTGTGTATTCGCGTGAACGGGAGCAGTGCTTTTATCCACTGTTTGCTATTTCGACGAGAGCGCTTTCGCATTATATGACTTTCTACGCATAGCAAAGTTTACAGGAAAGTCTATAGGAAATTTATGGAAACGTCTGTGGAAACGCTATAGAATTTTATTTCGACGGCATGCACGAGGTGCATATCGTTAGAAAATCAAACAAGCTTTGGATAATAGATTCCGCAATGTTGAAAATATTTTCCTGGCTTGTTGTTCCCGATTGTATATTCGAGTCAGTTTTCGATGCTATTCAACTCGTAGCGTGCGCTCTGCAATTGTTTAGATGTTAGCATTTTTCTAGGAATAAGGAATACTTTGTAAATTTAAGGAAACGAACTTTGCGAAGCTTCCAATGCAAATAATACAAATATAATATACAATTTAAATTTACAGGTTCATGCATATAAAATTCAACTCTCATTTCTGAAGCTTGAAATTTCAAGTTTTATCTCTTATTCCTCCATTTTCCGGAGATGTCAATCTTTAATCTCTGATCTTTAGTCAAATCTCTGATCTTTAGTCCTTAACGTTTGAATCTCGATTTTCAACTTACAAGTTGTAATTTCCCGCTGTCGATTTCAACCTGTCGTTTCCAACACGTTTTCCCGCTAATCACCGAATACGTAATGCGAAACACGTTCCAATACATCCTGCGAGAAAATTCAGTATATGCACGTTCTTACTTTGTAGATACTCTCGGAATCTCGAGGAAATGGATCCGTGCGTGATCCATTGGTCGGAATAGTGGCTCGCCTTCGAAGAGCGACGCGAAGCGCGTCGGTCTCACCGTTCTGACACGTACGTATCATTTCCGCAGTAACGCATCTCGTGACGAGGGATGTCGATAAGTGGATATTGCGAGGAACAGAGAAGAGCAAAGGAATCGAGAGGGAGAGAAAAATCTCTCGTGGGAGCACCACGTACGACGCGTTACGTATATCCCTTGAACACTATGTACATCGCGATGAGTTTTTTTCTCGTCTTTTCTTCTCCTTCGATTCACCAACCTTTTCAGTCCTCTCCTTGCAGAGGAGGGTCAGATTAACGATTGAACCGCATCTCGTCGATCATTGCCTGGGATTTCTGCCCTCCTTCTCGCTCTTGTTTTGTATATAACTCGTCACGCGACACGCCGATCGATGGTCAGGAATATGGCGATGTAATATAAATAATGTAATAATCCACCGTGCAATCTGGCAAATCACTTATCGCAAGATGAATCCGATAAAAAGCCGGGAGAAAAAGAAAGACATTCTTCAATAAATGTTCCTCGCTTCAATAATTACTATATTTGTTTTAGAATTATGTCCGGAAAATAATGGCTAATACTTCAGAAAGCGAATGTTCTTTATAATAATATAATAATGGGAAATATGAATGTGTGTTGAATAAATCGACAATGTCTGTCAATTTTGTTTCTCTTTGTCTTTTCTCTTTGATGAGTGCATTTTTCAATTTTGTTTAATATTCATGTTTGATCAACGCTTTGACAGGAATACCCTGAATTCTGTATGACTTTATATTTTGCTTAACGTAGAATCGATATTACAAGTGGACAAGCTCATCGCGTCGTTAGTGAATTATACGTCCGCATGAAGCGGACCTAACGATGACAGCATCGTTAATGGATCCTTATTCGAGCTCTGTTTTAGAACGATATGTTGTGCTGACCCATTCACTCTGCATACGTGCTCTAATATATACGCATCTCCCCCCATACACACGCACACGCGCGCGCGCGCGCACGCGCACGCGCACGCACGCACGCACGCACACACACACACACACACACACACACACACACACACACACACACACACACACACACACACACATGCACTCGTGAATGTAGGATGAAGGGATAATGGAGTATTCGAGATTTAAATTCTGTCAGGCTATAACGAAGGGAATGCTTATTACATCCCATGGATTGGAAAAAAGAGTAAAAAACATTATATATTTTGCAGCACACAAAAAGGATGAATAATTTTATTAAACTGCGAGAAATCGCGGTTAATATCGTTGATAAATAACTTAACAGACTTTACGAGATATGGAAGATTAAAGGATATGTATTGCGGTATTGTATGTATATTGCGATAATAGACACGAGACATGACTTGTAAAAAATTATAATCTTTCTAAAAAAACCAATTTTATTCGACGTAAATCAAATAAAATTTGTAAGATCAAACTCGTCGAGAATTTAACGTAATTTATCGAGAGAAGTACTTTTAATAAAAATCTCGCGTAGAATCTTATACTCAGAATCTTTAGCGAGAATACTTCGTCAGAAAATGTAACGTAACGAAATACGATTTCGGCACATATCTCAAAGTTCTTGAGATGACGTTTGCAATAAAACGGTGTGTCGTTCCATTTGTCGGGGCGGAAGAGATGCCGGTTTCGAACGAGAGGAAAGCGAGATTAAGCGACCTTGGAGTGGCAATCCTCGTCGATTCGCGCGATCGTCTCGTTGCACGACTCTGCGGAAGTGAGGTACAACACCGAGAGCGACGTTTTTCTTTTTTTTTTTCCCGTAATAAAGGAAAAAAGAGCGAGATGTATCGTCTCGTTCTTGCGGTAGGTCGAAATCAGTGCGCGATAGGCGCGCGCGGCCGGAAAATCGATGGCCGGTATCGGCTATGCGGATACGCGCGGCATAAATCTCCGCGCCTCGTGTTTTTTTCCTTCTTTCTCTCTTTCTTTTTTTTTTTTTTTCGTTCCCCACCCACCGGTTGCACGTTTCCTATCGGGCTTTTTCCGGTCGCTCTCCTCTCCGGTTGCGCGAACGCGCGTGGTCTTATCGGTGTTTCCGTAAAAATTCATTGCTCGTACGAGCCTGGATAAGCAACGCGGGGAATCGGTCAAGAATACTTTGCGAGCCGGCGGACTTTTACGCGGCCGAGCCACAGGTCCGAGAGCTCTACTCTCTCTTTACATTGCGCACCGGGCTGTGCGAAACGATTTTCAGCTTCGATTGTCAATTTAGAGCTTCCGACGTGAATATCGGAAACAGATTTTTGTCGACTTTCAGGCAATCGTTACCGTACGCAAAATGTGCGAGTCGTTTAGTATCTCGTTTTATCTCCAAAATGCGCGAGGTGGTATCTTCCAGTTCTTTTAGACACTCGGTACAAACGGTATTGCAGTTTTCTCGCAAAATAAGTTTCGAAATAACGAAAATAAAGGGAAGCTATACTTTAACGTCACGATTGTATTATTGCGAATCTATTGCAATGCGTACAATGCGTACAGTTGTCTTTCTTCCAATGTTGAATATTATCTCAAGTTGCACGGCTTCTCAAGTTGCAAATATTCTATATTTTGTCGCGTATATGTCTCTCTCTCTCTCTCTCTCTCTCTCTCTTCGTTTTCTCTCGTCTTTAATGTATTTAATTTCCCTACTGCTCTTCAGATGTAACTTTTCTGCATTACGTCTGTATTCTATACGACGAAATCAGAGTAAAACGCGATTCAAGAAACTTTATTAAACTCTTCTGCGAGATCCTCCACGCAATCAGTGTTTTCTTTCCTTTCACGGCAAATTGCTGATTCCTAGAAGCAAAGTCGCGCGGTTGAAAGTACTTCGTAGGCGAAGTTACGAGGCCAGTTGCAATCAAGTTAACATAAATACTCGCTGAGCTACGGGAAGTATATTTGCATAACAAGAACTTTTGGAATTGAGTGTCGAGGAAATTTTCAAGGGGAGCTACGCGGAGCACTCTGGTATTGAATAAGCGCGAGGTTGCCTGACGAGTTGCAAAATGTTACTTGATCCTATTGTTATCGTTCAAGTTTTAACATCTTTTTCTTTAACGCATATTAGCTATAACTTGCATTGTTAACTATTTATTAGAATATATATAAATCGTGCATGATATCGTCTTTTTGAACTGTTAAAATTACATTTAACATTTATTGTATTTATGTCTACTTAATGAATTCATATTTAACAGACATACCGTAGAACTATTGTTTTTCCAAACTGGAGCTACCGAACATATAGATCTTTTTCTCGATGTTATGATTGCATATTATTCTTCGAGAACTCGAGAAGGCTCGGGGACTTTCCAAGTAGAATAGATTTCACTTTCCGTCTTTGAGTGAATTGATTATCGCACTGCGGTTTCCCGCAGGCGGACGTAGCTCCGAGCAAGTGTTCCGCGAACAGTCGAGAAGAAAGACCTACAGCCGTAGGTTTACTCGAAATGTTCAACGAGGCGTAAGGAACTCGTTTCCAAAATCTATCAGAGCTTCAGATTGGAATCTCACGGTAATTTCGCAGCGGTTTTCCTTGTAACACGTGCACTTCATGCATTGCAACTGACGTTGCTGTTGGACAGATAACGTCTCAACCTCCACGTAATCTTTGACTCTGAGATAGTGTTAAATTATAATAGCTTAATTACAGTTTGAACATCAAAATATTATATAACAATGAGACATACAATTGACATACAATTTTTATACAGCTTCTGTCTATTATTTTTAAGTAATTATTTTTAAGATAAAATATATAAAATATATGTAGAATTAATCATTTATTAGCAATAATTCTCACTTTACATGCGTGATCTCTGCACTTTATTATCGGTAGCTTAAACGAGGATCATAGGTAGCGCACAACGCGCGATAAGCACGTTGCAAAACACAATGCGATACTCATTGCATGTAGTTGTATTTATATCAAATACGCATTATATCGCCCAAGACAATACGTGAAGAGACACACGCGGATCATTAGCATTCGCGCACGAGAATCGCGAATGGCGCGATAATCAGCGCACGTGCGCGGGCGAGTCAATGCAATAATCAGGCCGAGCCTTCCTTCCGAGCGTTAACGACGCTCGAGATTCGTGATTTCGTGTTTACTTCCGGTCACGTGCGTCGAATCGCGGATTTGCTTTCTCCCCGAGCACGTGCACGAGCGCGAGCTCGCGCACGCCTGATGCACGCGTGTCTTTGCTTACGTGTGTCCACAAGGAAACACACGCGCTGACCATTACACTGCCATCACTACGTGACAAGGTTTACGGTACGCGCGCGCGCGCGCGCGCGCGCGTGTGTGTGTGTGTGTGTGTGTGTGTGTGTGTGTGTGTGTCTATTTGTGTACCCAGTCCGCAATGGGGAATATCGCCGTGCAATATTGAGTGAATCTAATGAGGGGTATGCCCCCGTGCCGGTATTAATACTGCTAATCCAATTAGTTGATAATCTGCAGTGCTCAAATGTGACCAGGGCTATTAATAGGAATCGGTTAACATGTCGCGACGAAGAGTATTAGACCCGCCGGATTAGCTCTTAGACGAACCAATGTGGTCCCCTGGGGGAACACGGAGGATAGGGAAGATGGAGAGCAGTCTTATAGCGGCGTGTTCTAGTAGAATTCGCAAGATAGATGATGAAAAATGACACGAACGAAATCTATTAAGTGGAACCTTGACTTTACGTCTACGTTAAAATGAAATTTATGCCGAATTAATTCTCTTATCGAATCATACGTATAATTCGTATTATTGCTATAATAATTGAATTCCATTGTCATGAAGAGCTCGATCCTTCGAGCTATTTATATGCTGTAGCATGATGTAATATAGATGTTTATTAGAATTAATTTATCGTCATGTTGAAACGTTCAGTTGCTAAATTATCAATGTGGACTATTTGGAATAGTATACGCTGAGATATTTATAATGTGGCTACACATAATAGTTAGATTGGAAACCATCGAATTCATATTGTCACGCATAACAATAACATATTATTTAAGTATAAATTTCATACAATAGATAGATAAAATTATTATTAATATTTCATTAAGAGTAATTATAAATTTTGTAGATATGCATTGTATTTTGTACGATTGCCAATCGTGAATACTGAATTAATCTGCACTGATCTTGGACAACCAGACAGATAATTTTATTGTATTCGAATTGGATTCTTTCTCTCTTTCTCTATCATCGTCTATGTCGACTGTGTCTGAATTAATCAAATCTTTTAGTTTACTTTATGTCCAATGAATCGAGGAAACGAGTACGTTCATCCCATTTTCCGTTCCTGATGAATATCATGGCGTTGCGATCCAGCGGACAGCAAGATATTAATAATTTCATTTCCTGTCCAATCAACGGAACCCGTTGCTTTTTCTTCCTCTATATCGCGCTATTTGTCATCGGGTTCCGTGATAGAAATTAAGGAGGGGTCTTACTGCAGCGAGACCTACACGGAGACGATAGCAGTGTTCAATCGATCGATCGGTCGGACACGTAATCAAGTTCGAGGAAAACAAGAAAATGCGGCCATTCGATACCGAATAAATTGTTTCCTAGTTGCCACGTGTAGATTGCTTTTGTCTCTCAAACAGAGGGGCACCGTATTTTCTGCTAAGAAGATTAACTGTCCTTTATATTTATATATCGGCTTCTATTAAGTGAAATTTGCACGTATATGAAAAATCATACCAACATTTGTTTTGTTTCTATTTTATTTCAGAATTTCTCAAATTAACATTGGTCATAGAAACCTATATGCCGCAATGAGTATAGCGTTGTTTATGTCTGTTGATAATTAATTAGCGCTAAATTTTATCAATTTAATTTGACCTAATTTTAATTTTATCAATTTAATTTGACCTAATTTTATAAATTTTTGTAAACGATACAGATGTAAACACTGATATTACAGAATACTATGATACTGATATAGATCTTTTAAAAACAGAAAAGAAAACAGTATAATTACATAACATGTAATTATTGCATTGACAGTTGAATGTATCTCAGATTACCTATATTTTTCCTGTACAGATTCTTCGACTAGTTCGAAATTGAGTTTTCCTACATTAAACTTTCGCGGTTTAAACGTAGGTTCAAAAATAGTGTGACGTTTTTTCGAAACTTTTTATACAAACTCCAATAGCAACTTTTACGATGTCGAGTTTTAACTTTGACGTTTGCTAATGAACCTAAAAACGTCGAAGAAAAACCAACATGCATCGCGCAAGCGAACTACTCGGCGTGCAAGAAATCGGAGCAAACGGCAAAGGGCACGACATAAAAAAGGGGAAAAAAAATGACAAGACGAGTCGGGAAAAACTACCTGCATAGTTCGCAGTATGCACACGCGCGATTCTTCCTGTTCACTTTATTTCTCTCGCAGAGAGTGTCGTGGCTTAGGTGAGAAAGCGAAACGCATTTCTCAGCGAAAGCGTTTCGAATTTTCCCTATCGACGAAAACAGGATCAAAGCTGTCTCTGGTAAAGAGGGCCCTCGAGACCCCGCCCTTACCATTCGATCCTCCCGCGCCCTTTTTCGTTTGTGCGCGATTCGCGATTCCCTTTTCGCCCTTTCTACCCTTTCCTCCCTTTCCTCTCCGAGTTCACCTCTTTTCGCAGCACATTCAATGATAATGATAATGAATTTTAAACGATTATTCGTTTTAATTTCCCTCTCTTTTGATCATTCAAAAGACACACGTATGCGATGTAACAAAACCGAGAACAGTCGTCTCTCAGAAGAGACAGAATGCTATCGATTAGATCGAAGCGTCCGGCTCACCGGGAAGCGCATTTTTCTCGAAAGGGTTACATTTCATTGGCTGCACCTGTCATTCTTCCCGGACGTTGCATCACGTTTTCACAAAAGATACGAGAATGTTTCGTGATGTTTGGCGCTGAAAAATTTCAGAGCGTTGGACGATACTAAAAACAACGGAAGTCATGTAACGGGAATAGGAACAATGACTGAAACTACAATCGATAAACCATGTTCGTTGCTTCCACCACTATCTAGGTCATAAAACTGGGTCAGCCGTTTTATCCTCTTGCGTGTATCGAGATATTATCGTGTTTATCGATGATTTCCCAACGGCGATCGAGTGGACTTTTTAAATAATGGAAAATATCGCATACTTTTCGTACTTCGGTTCTTACACGTCGATATCTTTTCTCTTTTCAACTTATATGTTCTTTTATAATATTTTGTAATATTTCAATGTTATATACACACACACACACACACACACACACACACACACACACACACACACACACACACACACACACTGTATATATATTTAATCTTAAAAAATTACACTTTTTAAAAATAATCTTTCGTCTTTCCCGTCTTCACGTTAATTTTACTTTTCTCTTTTTTATTTTATTTTTTTAATTAATAACTTTTTTTAATATTTATACTATATATACTATATATACTAAAAAAAATTAAACATATATGTATATATTTTGT